TTATTTATTTATTATTTTAGTCTTTTTGAGACAGGGTCTCCCTGTAGCCCCAGCTGTCCTGGAGCTCACTGTGTAGACCAGGCTGGCCTTGAACTCACAGAGATCCACCTGCCTCTGCCTCCCAGGTGCTGGGACTACAGGTGTGCACCACCACGCCTGCCTGATGCTTAAATTTTCTTTTCTTTGTGTGTGTGTGTGTGTGTGTGTGTGTGTGTGTGTGTGTGTGTATGAGTGTATTGCCTGCATATACGTGAGTGCACCCGAGTCACACAATGCCGCGGAGGTCAGAAGAGGGCTTCCGATTCCCCTGGAACTGGAGTTGAGGACAGTTCCTAGCCGCAACGTGGGTACTGGGAATCGAACTCGGTCTTCTGTAAGAGCAGTCAGTGCTCTTAACCTCTGGGCCATCTCTCCAGCCCTGATGCTTCAATTTTTTAATCATCAATGCTGAGAACACAATTTCATATGAATATGTAGTATAAAGCTGCATAAATTTAGAACCATTTTAGCAAGTGTTGGAAATTCTGTCCTAAATTCTGAGCCAAAATTCATTTAACAACTTTTTTTGAAACTCAAGTGAGCAACTCAAACAATAGTGTTTAAAATCAAGCATTCTAATACAATCCAAATGACATAAAAATTGCTGTAGTCTTCGTAGACTACCTTAGGAAAGAATAATTCTGGCTTCTCAGAAAAGAGGTTACAGGAGACAGGAGGGCAGAGAGAAACTTTGATCTGAGGTCCTTCCAATGCCCCTTAGTTCAAAGTAGTCAGCATGCCAAGGTGCTCTTCTATGCGGGTTTTGTGTTCTGAGTTCCAACACCATTATCTCTTAAAGTTCAAATTAGTATTTATTACTTTTGTATGTTTGAAATGTTTTTCTAGATATGTCAAAGGACAAAATTATAACAATTTAGAGATTTGCTTTTAGTTTTGGGTTTTTTACTTTCCTGTTTTGAAACAGTGTCTTGCTATGTTGTTCAGGCTAGCCTGTAACTCGATGTATAACCCAGGCTGGCATTGAACCCACTATCTTCCTGTCTCAACCTTCCCAGTGCTAAGATTACCATTATACCTGGCTGCTTTTTTAAAAAAAATATATTTATTTTTGTGGTCCTGAGGACCAAACTCAGAGTCTTGCATATGCTAGAACATCCTCAGTCCTAAAATTTTTTCCCCTTTTTCGTTGATCTTTTTGAGACAGGGTCTCTCTGAATCCCCAGCAGGCCTAGAAACCACTGTGTAGACCAGACTGGCCTCAATGTCAGAGATCTGCCTGCCTCTGCCTCCCAAGGGCTGGAATTACTCCTGGTTTTGTTTGCTTGTTTTATTTTTTTTATTTATTTTTTGAGCCAGAATTTTAGTCAGTAGCCCAGGCTGGCCTGGAACTCACTATGTAGTTCAGGCTACCTTCAAACTTGCAACAGTCTCCCGCCTAAGCATCCCCCCACCAAATCCTGGGATTATACATCCAGCCAAAATTTTATCTTTTTTTTTTTTTTTTTTGGTCTTTTTGAGACAGGGTCTCCCTGTTACCCCAGCTGGCCTGGAACTCACTATGTAGACCAGTAGATCAGGCGTGCCTCGAACTCACAGAGATCTGCCTGCCTCTGCCTCCCGAGTGCTGGGATTAAAGGTG